AAAGAGAAATTGATAGAATGACGTGAAAATTCCTGTAAGGAAGCACTTAAAGTGGGCAAGAATCAATGTGAAACATTGGGATTGACCATTGAAAGAAGAAAATTACGTCGTAAACGAATGCCACATGAAAATGAAGCTGATGTTGGATATACTGCTGAACAGGAAATTTATCGCATCATGAAGGATGTTATTGATCGCTTGCTTACAAAAATAACAGGAAGAGTTTTTCGCTTACTAGATTTAGATTCACGGTTTGGATTTCTACTAGATGTGCAAAATATTGTTTCTGGAGATTTCGAAGACGAAAAATTGCAAGAAAAATGTTCTGACTTAACAAAGAGCTATCCAGGTGATATTGATGGACCAGAATTGTACAGAGAAATTAAAGAATGTAGAATGTTGGTAAGTAAAAGAACACAGACCGATTTTCCTGAACCAATGGCTGCAACTCATTTGCTAAGATTTATAATTTCATATGGTGGAGATGTTTTCCCAAATCTAAGAATTGCATTGCAGATTTTGTTAACAACTGGGGTTTCTATTGCTAGTTGTGAAAGGTCCTTCAGCAAGCTGAAAGTAATTCTTACATACTTGAGAACCTCACTGACTCAAGAACAACTTAGTAGCTTGGCAATATTAAGTATTGAAAAAGACGTACTTAATACCTTAAATTTTGATACTTTAATTGATGCATTTGCAGCAGCAAAAGCACGAAAGGTTCATATAATGTAACCATGAATACCAGAGTGCTACCTGTACAAGATCTAGTTAAATGTATGTACAGTTTTGTAAACTGATAAAATTTGTTATTTGTAAACTTAAGTAGTATTTTATCAATCTGTTTTATAATCCATGTACACCACAAGTGACTGGCTTCTCATATAAAACATAAGTTTCAAAACTAGGGATATAACAGACATTTATTCTGCATGCTTGAAATATTACTCTAGCTATGTGACTTTGAACAATACTGGATGACATAAATATCAAAATGGTTTACAAATTATATAAGTACACCTAGTAGGCTATACTTTATTAGTTCCAGGTTTACAGTTCTAATATCGTGAGATGTTATATTGTGACTTTATTTTAGGCCTGTGTAAGGCGGTAATTAATTCTTTATGTTATTGTCATTAAGTGGGTGTTGAGTCACAAAACATTTCAGAGGTGGGGGCGCCAAAAGTGTCTTTGCCTCCTGATGCTGAGAACCCTTGCTACGCCACTGCTCAGCGAATCGTATCTACATCAACTCGTAATTAACTCGCTCATCCTAAACCGTCGATAAGATACCAAG